CCACTGTGTCTTTTGAGAGCACATCCCTGCCCACCAAAAGTCAGTTTCTATTAGAGGGTTTAAAGTGTTGAAAATAGTCATCCACCCCAAATGCTTCCTTCAGAGACCCCAAGTTGGGATCAAAGGTTCTTATTCTGGGCCTTTTGGGCAGGGAGAGAGGACTGAAGACAGAGGATGACCATTTGTACAATTTGCGCCCTGGCCTTCAGCCAGCTACTTTACATATCTTGTCCCACTGAGTCCTGTAATAGTCCTATATTTTATAATTATTCTGACTCCACAGAAGATACAAATGATGCACAGAGGGATAGGAAATTTGCCCTTGGACACAGCTAGGAATTTTAGAGGCTGGATATGGAAACGGAAGCTTTCCCACACTTATTCTTGCTTCTATTCTTTGATCACAATTTATATTTTTGGATTTCATGATACTGCAGAATAATTTGAAGTGCAGAATTTTTTGAGACTATAATCCCAGGGGAAAAAGAGTGTTATTGTTCTGGAGACTGCTTCTATGCATCAGTCATAGTAATGATATTTCCTGCCCTGCCTTGACTGACAGGAAATTCAAATGAGGTTTGAAGGTTGTCACCACCTTTTCTCATAAACACTTTGGCCTCCTTTGCCCTGTCCTGCCCTCAATGTTCTATTTTTATTTCCATGGTACTCTGATGTATCAGCCTGATAGAGTGACTGTTATATCTGTTCAGCTATCAGAGACCAGGTTTCCAGGCAGGAAGTGCTGAGAAGCCAGTTTCTCCCTCTTCCGGTTTTGATGGTAGGAAAAGAGGCAAGAAAAGGCCTGCTCTGTACCTTCCAACTCAGATCTGGCATCAGCAACTCAAGAGTAGAAACGAAGATGTTTAAACATCTTCTTTACTGTCTGCATCTGAAAGACGTCTGAAAACCCACAGTAGCTAAGATGGGGGTTTCACAGGAAACAGAAACTTCTCATCGGGTTGTCACTGTGGCCCTGACATGGGGCTCTGTCAGCTGAGCTCTGTGGCTGGGTGTGGCCCTTGAAGTGTGAATAGGTAGGAGGGTGGATGTCAGCTCAAAAGATGCTGACAGACTCAACCATAGGCTGTACCCCTGCCAGTGACAGTTCTCCCCACCCACTCCCACGTGCTTGCACATGACCTACGGCACCTGCTGTAGGCCACTGCATGTCACGAAGAAAGAAGAAAAATAAAGAATTAGACTTTCCTTGGATGAAGCCTTTTATAGTCTTCATCTAATGAGGAAACTGAGGCTCAGCTGGGCCTCAGACAGGAGTAAGGTTCTTCTTCTTCTGGGGCTACAGGCAGTGTGGGGTGCAGGTAGAATCTGTAGGAAGCCAATGCATCTGGGAACAGCTCCTACTGTCGTGGCCTGGCTTTGCAGGAAATGGCAGTCTGGGATTCCCTTCGCCAGCAGACCTGGCCAGCCCAGTGCAAGGGGAGCTAAGGCCAAAGCTGTGCTGGCCTCACACAGAGGAGCCATCTTTGCCCTTTTGCCTCATACACAGATGTCAAGATGATGCTACTGATGTAGCCTTTGAGGAACATGGGATCCCACCCCAGGCGGTTTGTGGGGGAAGGGTGCCAGGAAAGAGGCCATCCTGGGTCAGAGGGAGGAGGGCAGGGAAGATGAGGACTCTGAGTGGCATGGGGTGGCTCCTGCCTCTGGGGGCAGGGGCACAGTATTCATGTCTGTGTATAACCTGGGAGCATATGGCTTTGTTCCGGATCTGCTCATGAATCAGCATTCGTTGCCAGCGATGGTTCTCTATTGTCATTTTGTGCAAGGGACTGTCTCCTCTCTCCCTGCCTGTGGAAGGTAGCGGTGTTACATAAGTCAAAGATGTGTGATTCCATGAGTCCTGCCTGTAGGGCTGCTGTTGAGGAAGAACCGACTTTTAGGCTCCCAGTTTTGGCCAGAAGGGCCTCGGCCTGGTGGGAGTTGGGGTGGGGTGGTGTGGTCCATGGGCTGACCTTCTGAGGTGCCTGAGGACCGCAGGTGGGGAGAAATGAAGTGTGTGTTCTCCGAGGACCATGCTGTAGGGCGTGCATTCTTTCCACAGTTCTGTCTCCCCACCTTGGTTATGGAAAGGTACCCTACTGTCCTGCCTCAATGCCCCTTTCTTCCGCTTTCTCCCTTGGATGGGTCTCCTCACCTCCCTGAGTCTCAGTTTCCTTCCTTGCTGAATATCAAGTACACGTCTTAGTTGGTGGCTAACACCAGAAGTGAGCTGGATCTGAATCTAGTGATCACTTGCTTATTAATCTAGGCTAGATGCATTTCCCAGGGCAAATGGCTCCTTACTTTAATTGAGAAGATTCAGATCTGGTCATTAGCTTGCTTACTGATTTTTTTCTTAAGAAACATATTTTACTATGCAATGAATGCATGATCACTGTTGAAAAATTCTATGATGTGAATAAACTGAAAAACAACACCCCCCAAACCCACAATATAAAAACATGATAATCACACCACCCAGAAATAATCACTATTAACAAATCCTTCAGGCTCTTTTTCTCTTCATATATAGATGTCTTCTATACTTCTATACATATTTTATAAAAAACTGGTAACATATAAATCCTTTTTTGTCACTCAATGATATATTAACACCTTTTCTTATGAATGGATATACACATAACATTTTTTTTAGTTACTATTAAAGTGTAAAAAAAAAAAAGCACACAAGTTAAAAAATTTAAATGAGTAGTCAGATTCACAGAGACAGAAGGTAGAATGGTGATTGCCAGGGGCCGGGGAGAGGGTGAATGGCTAGTTCTTGTTTAATGGGGACAGAGTTTCAATTTGAGACCATGAAAAAAACCTCTGGAGGTGAGTGGTGGTGATGGTTGTACAACGATGTGAATGTATTTAATACTACTGAACTGTGCACTTAAAAATGGTTAAGATGGTAAATTTTATGTTGTGTATTTTACCATAATTAAAAAATATATATAATAAAACTAAAAAAGAAAGTGTAAACAATTCAGTCTTGTTAAATGAAAATGAAAACTCCCACCCTATTCTTTTTATACTCAATATGTTGGCTATGAAGACATAACCAATATTTTAAAAACAGAGCAACAATAATGAAGTTCCTGTGTTTTGAACTAAGCAGTTTATATGCGCCGTTTCCCTTAGTTCTCATGAAAGTAGTCCAGAGTAAACACAGCAGGGAAGTGATGGTGTTGGTTTCTACTCCAGAGCCTGAACCCTAAACAGCTAAGCTCTGCTACCTCTTTTATGAGATAGTTTTATTTAAAAGAATAATATATCAGTGGCAGTAAAGGAAAGTCACCTGTTATCCCCCATTCAGGCTTCTTGTTAGTTTTGTCCATTCCTTCTAGCCTTTCTTCACAAGTTGCCTCCCTGTCTTCCTGCTTTTCTGCAGGCAGGGCCCAGAGGCAGTGCCATCAGCAGAGGGGAGTGGGGTTTGGAGGGGGGGTGGTGATTATGGTGGTGTTTGAGTAATTCTGCCCTAGCCAGATGGGAGGGGACAGTGAAACCAGCCCCGGGTTTCGGGGACAAATCATTTTGCCCCTGGGAGCCTCAATGTGCTCAAAAATAAAATGCAGATAATTGTTAACTGTTAGAGATTGTCGAGAAAATCAAATAAATCTGTGTGGTGCTATACAAGTGTGGTGCCATGCATTTAGGCATTATTAATATTGTTCTAGACCCAAAGCTTGGGTTTGAAGAGGTTGGCCTCAAGGTAATGATCAGTTTTGTTTAGAAAGAGATGTAGTTTACCTGTTGGAATGAATGCTACTGGGGACTCAAAGGCTGGACGTTGTTTGCCCCAGCCCCACCTGAGCATGTGTGAGAGTTAGCAAGTCGGAGGCTTTCCCTGGGACTTCGGTGGCCCCATTTTTTCAGTTCTCAAATATGGGTCCACCCTAAACCACCAGAGGATGAAAGGCCTTGAATACAGGGCTGTAGAATTTGGATTTGATCTGGGAGGCAATGTGGAGCTATAAGGAGTCCTGTGAAGAATGTGCTGTGTATCCAGACAATGGGAAGTCATAAAGGCTTTAAGCAGGGAAACGATGAGGTTTGATCTGTATTTTAGTAAGATGGCCTGGGGAGGGACCTGGAGGCCCTTTGAGCTGGAGGCAGCAGCCTGCCGGGAGAGATGAGACCAGGGCCGTGGTGAAGGAAGCTCCTTCACAAAGAGCAGGCTCTGAGAAGCTGGGTGGAAGCCAGTGTAGACACACCCTTGCAGCACCTTTGGGCATTCCCAAATTTATGGAAAGGGGAAGTAATTACTCATGAAGGCAGGTGACTTCTACCCAGGCTCCTTCGGCCAGTCTTGCCTGCTCAGGCCTGTGATCTTGGGGAAGCCACTTAACCTGCTCACACCTCAGTTTTCTTATCAGGGATGAAATGCAAAGTTCTTGTGAGGATTTGATGCAAAGCTTGGCCTGGGCCTGGCACAGCTGGCACTCATTTGACATAGCTGCTATTTTCAGAATTCCTATCTATAAAACAGGGATTCTGTTTCCAGTGCTTGTAGATGGGGAAGCTGCAGGACTGCCAGAACTTTTATATTTAGGAGCACAGCTAGAGACTTAGCAGGATGGATATCTTTAACTTCTCCACGTGTTCAGGGAAATGTATAGTTTATAGAGCCCTTTCATGTCTTTTTTCTCATATACCCCCTCCCAATAGCCTATTAGGTAGGCAAGCAGATATTATCATTATCATCAGCTCTATTTTATAGGTGCAGATATAGGTGCCAAGAAGAAAAGTGACTTGTCCAAGGTCACATAGCTAGTAGGCTAAGAAGCCAGGTATATCTGCCTCAGAATGTCAGAGCTGGACCGATCACAGGAGATTATTATGCACAACCACTACATCTTACAGATGGGGAGCCCGAAGCCCAAAGAGGGGCACACTGCAAATTCAAAGCAGAGTCCAGACTAGAACCCAGGTCTCTGACTTCTAGACCCAGCCTCTGGATAGTTACCCCACTTCATCTTTCTTTCCATTTGTTTCAGGGAAACCGGTTCCTGAAATAAAGTCTTCCAGCCCTGATTTCCCAGATGCCTTGAAACCAGCTTCTGTAAGAAACACCAACGATGAACAGAGAATGGGGCAGCCCGTGAGGCCCGCTGCCTCTCTGGGCCCAGGTATTTTTAATTAAATTTCATTTTTTTTGTTTAAAGGAAATTTATTTAAGAAAATGATTTAACTAAGGATATTCAGCTCAGCATGTAATAGTAAAAAATTAGAAACAATTGTAGGGATGATAAAATTGATGCCAGTAGGTCATAACAATAATACTGATAACATAATAATACTTTTAACATCTTATTAACATAAGAATACTGTTAACAATGATAGAAACATACTTACAATCTATTGAGTTAAAAAGTAAAAAAAAGTCAGATAACAAAATAATATATACTATTTTTTTGCCGTTGAATTAATTAATTAATTAATTAATTTCATTTTTAGTGTGATTTTTATTATAAATCTTAGAGTTAAGCATGTTTGTTTACATTTTAAGGCATCTCAATTTTGTATGTACTATTTTAACATAAATTTGGTTTATTTTTTACCATTTTAATAGAAAGCAATAACTGAGTGAATGAAGGCTTTCTCTGTGCCAGACACTGTTCTAAGCACTTCAGAGATGTTGACTTATTTAATACTTAGTTAGCTGTTTGAGTTAAGTATTGTGATTATCCCCGTTCCACAGATGAGGAAACTAAAGCACAAGATCATATGCACTGGGCCCAGGTTTTTTGCCTGTGGTTTCTCAAGTCCCCATTACTGGCTGGCAACACATGCCTTCTATGGGCTGGGAGCCTGATGACCTTTCTGTCAGCTCTCCACAGGCTGGTGGCCTGTCTAGGGCCTCGCCCTCAGCCATGCAGTGGGGTACCGAGGGGTGCTGCTTGTCCCCCATCTTCTTCCTCTTCTCCAGTCACAGACTTGCTGTTTTGTTCTATGGCATGTGAAGCACCAAGAGAGAATGTGTTTTGCTCAAGGTCACATGAGTAGGAAGTAGCATCTGAGCAGTATAATCTGAACAGTTATGTTTTTATCCCTTGCACTCACTGCTATTCCAAAGCCTTAAAGATCACTTCAGATTTGTCCTGATCCCCTTTTGCCCAGGAAAAGGCTTGGAGACAGTTTGTCAAATTATAGAAGGACTCAGCCAGTGGATGACTTCCCTGAGGGGGATTGCCACTTGCTCACATCTCCATTTTCATCACCTTTCCCCTGGAGCCCAGCCTTCCTTTCGCTCTCCTGCAGCCTCCTGAGCAGTGAGCCAAAGATCCCAAATCCATGAAACCTCTGTTTATTAGTGTGGATCGTAAAGATAAGGTCAGCATGGGCTGAGAGGAGCACGTACAGGCTTTTGCATTAGACAGACCTTTATTTGAATCCCAACTCTGCCACTTTCTAACAGAATTACTTAATGTTTCTGTGCCTCAGTTTCTGCATCTATAAAATGGGCATAACAAAACCTACGTCATCATGTTGTGGTAAGGAATCATACACCTCACCATGTAAGTGCTCATTAAATGTTAGTTGATGTTAGGAATATTCCAGACACCCCAGATAGGTTGAGTCTGGAAAATTAATTCTAGCCAAGGAATCTGAATTATTTCCTGCAACTAAAGACAAAAAAAGTGGAGGACTTTGATCAACAATTAAAGATAAGGGGAAATAGTCCTAAAGCAAATATGATACTAGTTGATGATCAACGGGAAACAGAGTAATAAAATAGGGAAATTCTAGGGACATGCTGGTCAGGATGGAAGCAAATATGATACTAGTTGATGATCAACGGGAAACAGAGTAATAAAATAGGGAAATTCTAGGATCGTGCTGGTCAGGGTTACAGGTGTAGCAACTTCTTCTGATGTTCCTTATCTAGGAGACTGCAAAAACAAGCATCATGTGTTTCTGCTAGCCTTTGTACCGTTTACTTTCTTGAATGGCCCTTGAAAGCATATGTGCCCTGGTGGGTCGAGATAATAAATACAATCTGTAGATAGAGACAGGAAGTTGATTGTCTATCTTTGCCCAAACTGAAAATAAGAAAGTAATCATTAATTTCATCAAATGACCCAAAGTCTTTCTTCTCTCAGGAAAACCCCAAGCTTCCATTGGGCCCCAAAGTTCAAGCTGATTATCTTGTAGGAGTGGGGAATGCAGAGGCAGCGGTGGCTGGGGAGGGCACAGACAGGTGCTTGTGTGCAGGAGACACTGGACCGGGAGTTTGTGGCCAGTACCTCATGAATCACCCTGACAACCGGGGAGCCAGGGGTCCTTGTTGTCCCCTTTGATATTTGGAGAAAGATGCATGACCTGCCAGAGCTTCCTGGTAGAATGAGTGGTGAGGCCAGGATTCTGCTCAGGTGGGTTGCCTAGAGGCCACACAGCAACCTGTGTATATACTGACCCTCTCACAGTAGGTGGGGAGGAAGTGGGGGAGAGATGTGGAGGAGGGAATTACGTCAGTAAACGAGCCACACATAGGTTCTGAGCACCTCATTAAACAGATTCTCAAAGCTAGAATTCAAATAAAAGGGCTCCGAGCAGCTAAAATAACTATAACAAAGCCTTAGCTATAGGAGAGGCCATTGTGTGGTCAGTCAGAATCTATTTCCTCTTATTCCACATGGAGTTTACCAGCCTTGGTACTCCATATGTACCAGAGAGGGGCGCATCTTTGTGCTTTATAACTGTCATCTCTTTTATCTGGACAAGAACTCTATAAGGAATGGAATATTGTTGTTCTTTTTGCATTTGAGAAAGCTAAAGAATGAAGCACAACTCACCCAAGGTCAAATCTTTAGAAATGATGGAGCCAGGACTTGAGCCCAGTTATGTCTGATAAACAGAAAGGAGACTGGGAGGCTGCAGAGGCAGACCCACTGCCAGCCACCAGGCAGTGTACAGAAAACCCCAGTTGAGATATAGCACCCACCACTGCATGTTCTATACTCAGGCCCACAATGCAACACAGCAGGATGAGATTCTGCTTGGGAATGCAGACATTCTAGAAGGATTTCTAAAGGAGATGTTTTGGAAATTACATTTATGTAGCCAAGTGTTACCCTGACTCAGTCCTTCCATGAGCATGCAAAACAAGGGCTAATTCTTATCTGATGTGTCAGCCTTTTGGTAGTGGCCCAAACTTCATTTCTTTCAATTTATTTTATTTTTTTTACAAAACCGCAGGGATAGACTCAGCCACTCCTTTAACTAGTAGACCTCACTGATCCTCCCAACCCAAGGGACTTGGTATAGCCCCCAGAGTGAACCCCAGGCATCAAGCCAGATCAGAAAATCCTGGCTCTGTGAGACCATTAGTGACCCTGGAGTCACTGGGCAAAGGGAGAGGACAAGGGACCATGTGCACAGCCCTACTGTGAAGTCAGGGATAAGGCAGCACTCGAGGAAAGAAGCAGGAGGAAGATGGAGTTAGCTTGGAGCAGTGGTTCTTAGAGTGTGGTACATGAGAACATGGGTATTAGAAAAATATATATCATATGCACAAAAACCTAGGGATTTCAAGGCTAGATGCATACTACATGAATTAAAGTGGAATGGAAGGAAAACATCAAGTAACTCATAGTGAGACAGCACAGAGACATGGCCAACATCTTGGAGATGGATGAATATGACTGCAGTTTGGGGGACACAGGCCAAGGGTACTGGGTTGAGGCCAAGAGAATGCTTCATTGCAGGAGCAGCAGTGTCAGTGTGGTCCTGTACTCCAGGTCACCTGAGAAGCGAAAGCCAAGGTTAACATGCAAGGATTTTCACAGGACAAGTGCCTGAGAGAAAGTGGGGAGGGAGCTGGGCAAGGCTGGGGGAGCTTTTGGGCCTGGAAGGAAGGAGAGGGTGTGGGAAGGTCGGCTGGAAGTGTCCTGCCTGCCTGCCTGCTTGCTGTCTAAGGCAGGCTCAGGAGGTGGTGTCCTTGGAGAGACCAGAGTCACCATCAGAGGCCTGGGTCTCCCCTTAGCCTCTCCTCTGCACTCAGTCACTGCGGGGAGCAGCCTGTGGGAGGCATGGCCCAGGTGCAGATGTGGGAATGGATCTGAGTGAGCAGTAGGGCTCTCTCTGTCAGGTATGCTGCCAGCAGCTGGTTTGCAGCTCATTCCTGGTTTTATTTTATTTTTCATTCTGGATTTTTTAAATAATTTATTTGTTTGCCAAAGGTTTACTTCCAGTGTCTGGGCTATAGCTTTTACCCCAAAGCTCAATTTACAGTTATAGTGCACTGATGGACTGAGTGGGTGTATGTGCACCTGTGTGTGTGTGTATTTTTAGTACCCCATTCTGGAGTTCACTGGTGAGTGGCCAGTGAGTGAAGCTTCATTTGTATTTGCAGTGTGGGTTTGCAAACACGGTACCTTCTCAAGTGTAGTTCTTTCAAATATAGCCATTGCTGGAAAATGTGAAAAATCAAAAACTTCAGAAGCTGTGGCAGACGCAGGGAGAGAGGCTTAGGGTGGCCCTCCTGTTGGGCTCCGTGGAAGATGGAAGAGCCTCAGGCTTTGTATCAGGTGAGTTTTATTTCATCAGCTGCCTAGGTTAATAGTTTAGCAAGGCTGATTCTAGTTTCACCCTGGTACTGTTTTCATCCTTCTGAATTATTGTTTTGATGGCCAAAGTTCCAGATTTAATCACTCCTTTCCTGATGTCATAAACCAGGTGAATTTGACCAGCAACCCTGGGGTCAAGGCCAAGTTCCCTTGGAAGGGCCAGTCCTCAGTTACTCAGGGGCCTCAATTTTACCATCTATAACGAGTAGATGATAATGGTGCTATCTTCTCGGATTGTTGTGAGGGTTAAATCACTTAACACAGTGAAGTGTTTAGAACTGTCCCTGGCATGATGTCAATGTTTGCTCATTAAGTGTGCTTGGAATGTTTAATGCACGCCTGGGTTTTCCCACTGTCATACCTCTGCTTAGGCCCGTTCCACTGCCTGGTGTCCTCCTACCTCATATCCACTTGTTAGAAACATTTCTCCATCTTTCAAGGCCAGGTCAAATGCTCCTTCTTCTGTGAAACCCTCCACGATCTCTCAACCTACTATGGCCGGCCTCTCCTGCCTCTGACCTTCGAGGCCGGTTATTGCCATTCCTACCACGGTGGAGGTTTCTGGAAGGCAGGGGTCCATAGCTATTTTCCTCTGAGTTCTTTTCTGCTCCTTGTGAGGGAGGTGGGGCAGTATAGGGGTTAGATGTTACACAGATGACATTCCCTTTGGAAGCTGGCTCTGCCACTTTTCTGTGTGGCCTTGGGCAAGTGGCCACCTGCAGTGCCTCCATTTCTCCTCTGGCTAAATGAGGATCATTTATAGCAGGGATCATTTATAGCAAGGGTCCCCAATCCCCGGTCTGTGGCTTGTTGGGACCTGGGCCACACAGCAGGAGGTGAGTGGGCAGTGAGTAAAGCTTCATCTGTATTTGCAGCTGCTCCCCAGCACTAGCATCACCACCTCAGGTCCACTTCAGATCATCAGGCATTAGATTCTCATAGGAGCACTGGTCCCAGGTGCCAAAGAGGTTGGAAGCCACTGATTTATAGGACCAACCAGTGGGGCTGTCATAAGGATTCATTTAGGTAAAGGCATGAGAGTGTGTAGGCTGGCACCTGGGGGTGTCAAGAAATGGCAGCTGTCATTACAGACAAGTGTTTGTATAGTGAATTAGAGACTGGCTTGGCCTGGGGACCAACAGAGACTCCTCCCGCCTTCCTCCAGCGGGCCACTTACTGACACACAGTCTCTCCTTTCCAGGGCCAGTTCCAGCCAGAACCAACCTTCTGCCTCCTCCTGAAAATGCCCCTCCTTCTTTAAAAACCAGCCTTCCTGTTTCATCTGATTCAAAGGTAAATCTTCCACTCACCATAAGCCATATCCCCAGCTCAATATCCTCAACTCATGGCGCTCTCTCAAAACTGCAACACATTTATTCCCTGAGACTAGTTTGGCGGTTAGGGCTGGGGGTGAGGGGAAGAAAGGAGACCCATTGAATTACTCAGAGCCACTAAGACTGTAAGTACTGGCCATCAGTACATCTGGGGCTGGGCATTGGTGGGATGGGGGGTGCAGGGGTTGGTGCACTTTAGTGAATATATGTTTTTAATGAGCTTTTCCATTATTTGTGTTTAAATGAGAGCTGATAATTGGCATCTTCCTCCTCCCAAAGTAAATTGATTACAGTTGTTATTTGCTTACAAATCACCTCTCCTCCAACCTTTTCAATCCCAAATATGTCTGAGTTATTCTGAATTTTCAATGAGTTGGGCCACATATGATTTTTGTGGGTCTTAGGCATTTGAGCCCTCATGGGTCCTTTCTTTCATTAAAAAAATTAAAATTAATATTTGATAATTGCTTTGATATAAAGATGAATATAATTCAAGATAGATTAAAAATTAAAAGATTTTCTTTGACTCTAAAAATTCATTTTTGTTCTTCTGATTTTAAAAGAAATTAAAAAGATTTCGTAGGTCCCTAAAAGTTTTGTGGCAGGGTGCCTGGTGAAGAAGCCAGCTCTGCGTAGGTCTGATTAATGAAGCTCTTCCATAAAGAAGACTGTTAGTCATTCTCAAAGATGGTTTAATAACTTGGGAGAATGATCATGGTATAATGTTAAGTGAAAATACCAGATATCAAAACTATGTGTTTGTCATGGTTTCAGTTTGTTAAATAAATCTTTATATATCTAGTTGGCATGAAACACACTAAACTTTAATAGCCGTTAAGTGGATAATGAGATCAAGAGTCCCCACCAATTATCTAAAACTGTTTATAAGAGCATATATAACTTTTTAAAAAATTAAGTTTAATTACACCTATTTTTAAGAAGAAAAGTTATTAAAGCAGAGCTGCTTTTCATAGGCTTACACATGCAAGCAGTCTCCAAAGCTCTGATTACAGAATTATGTTTGGTTATATGACCCTGTAACTTGCTTCCCAGCTTGTGTACCATGCGTAGGACCAAGGGCACCAACTTGGCCATTGACCAGCTAGCTGTGTGATCTCACCTCAGCATTTTGATCCCCTTGGTGCTCACCTTCGTAAACTAAAAAAAAAAAAAAAAAAAAGCGAACACCAACCATTTGCTGAGAATAGTCACATTTTACTTAATCTTCAGAATTACCCTCCAGGGTACAGTAGTTATCTTCATTTTTGTTGATGAGGAAATTAAGGTTCAGAGAGGTTAAGTAACTTGCCCAGGGTCATAGAGCAAGTTGAGGAGGAGCTGGGGGTTAAGCTGGCCCTATTCCTGTCCTTTTTACCATTCTTCCTCACTGGAAAAGATGATCCCCTGAACCCCTTAAGCTCTGGTGTTATTTTTCCATATTAATTCAATATTAATGTCTGTCTCTTCTCTCTGAACCCCCAGGATTTCAGCACCTCCATTCCTAAGCAGGAAACACTGCTAAGCCTGGCCGGAGATAGGCTTTTCTGGAGTGAGGCAGATGTGGTTCAGGCAACGGACAACTTCAACCAAACCCACAAAATCAGTGAGGGGACCTTTGCTGACATCTACAGAGGGCAAGGGCAGGGCACACCAATCATCATCAAAAAGCTCAGAGAGGTGAGCACTTCTTGGTTTCTGATAGGGGATGGAGGCTGCACAGGTGAGACTGGATTTTTATGTTTCACTGTCTTTTCCCACAGATGGCCTGTTCAGGTCCAAGATCAATCGAAAAATTCTTCCAGGCAGAGATACAAATTTGTCATAGGTAAGCCTCCCCTTTGGAGAATGCTTTGTTTAATAATGATGACAGCTAACACTTAGAGCTTCCTGTATGACAGACATGTTTTAAGAACTCTGTATGTATAAACTCATTTAATCCTCACAAGAACCCTGTAATGTAGTTACTATTACCACATTTTACAAATGGACAAATTGAGGCACAGAGAGGTTAAGTGTGTCGTCCAAAATCACAAGGCTAGTAAGTGATAGAGCCAGAATCTGAACCTAGATTGGTCTGGCTCCACAGCCTATTCTTTTTCTATGTAGCAACTATATACATAGATTAGAATTATAAAAGAACCTTGGTTCACTTGGCTCAACTCCTTTCCTCCTGGGGGAAAAGAAATCTTTCTATCCCATTTTTCTTTTTTTCTATCCTGTTTTTTGAGTTAGGCAGAGACATACAGATTCCAACTCTAAGGGCAAATCCATCTTAAAATCCTAGTGCTCTAGATCAGTATCTGGCAAATGATGATCCACGGGTTAAATTTGGCCCTGCCTGTGTTTGTATGACCTGAGAGCTAAGAATGGTTTGAAAAAAATATAAAGAATATTTCATGACCCATGACATAAGAAATTCCAATTTTAGTGTCCATAATAAAGTTTTGTTGGAACATAGCCGTGCTCATTTATTTCTGTATCATCAGTGGCTGCTTTTGTATGCTAGTGTGCAGTCAAGTAATTGCAACAGAGACCATCTGGCCTACAAAGTCTAAAATATTTACTATATGACTTTTTACAGAGAAATTTTGCTGACCTCTGGTCTTGAGCAATAAAGGCCTTCAAAAGTCATCCTCAAACCTTATTTTACAGATAGGATAACAGGCTGGAGAAGTGAAGTTAGCCTCTCTGTCACAGAACTAGGTGGGGACTGGGAAAGAAAAAAGAGGAAGGACTATTTGGTCCTGGCTCTGCCATCATTGACTGAAGAATCTAACAAATGCATATTGGGCACCTGTCATGTGCTTGAAACCAGCTGTCATTCAGCTTCGGCAAGTTACCGAGTTTTCTTTGCCAATGAGCCTCCTTGGGCAAGTAATATGTGATAATTGTAGAGTATTTTAAGAAATAAAGAAAATTATAAATAAGAGAATAGAAGTCACCTATTTTCCATTGTACCTACAAACTACTACTGTATTAATATTTTGATATATTTTCTTTCATCTTTATTCATACATGTGTATGAATGTACACACTTATACACACATACTTATATACACATGCACACACACACATTTAATGGAAACTGGAAGTCTGTTCTACCTTGGCATAGTGCCTTCCTGGGGTCAGCAGTCACTCCTTCATTCATGGATTTGGCAAATGTGAGTTGTCAAGGCATTACCTGACGCTAGAGAGTACAGAATGTGAAGAAGTCACAGCTCTGACTTGGGGAAGTTTATAGTCCAGTGGGGAGAGTGAAGTGTAAATAACTCTAATGAATGTACAAAGTGTGAAGTAAGATGGCCTGGGGTGAGTAGAGGAGGGCAGAAGCTTCAGGCAGGCAGCTTTACAGTAGTCCTGGGGAAAGTCCATCAGAGTCTGACCCAAGGCTGCCCAGGGCGGGATGAAAGGAACCTTTTGAAAGCTATTTATGATAGTGAATGGTGACTAATTAGATGGGAGATGTAAGGAAGTTTCTAGGAAATTGGATGGATGGTGGTATCCTTTGCTGAGATAATAACTATGGGTGGGGAAGCTGGTTTGGGACTTGTTGAGTCTAGGCTGTTTAGAGCATTGGGGCTGGAGATGAGATTTGGGAGATACCTCGAAGAGCAGCTAAAAAGACAAGATGACGAGCCTAGCCTGGGAGACTCAGGTTTCAGAGAGAGGCAAAGGAGGAGAGTCTTGGTAAAGAAAAAGTCCAAGAAAGAGTGGTCAGAGAGGTAGGAGGAGAGTCAGGAGGGACCGGTGACTTAGAACCCAGTGGAAGAGGATTTTGGGGAAGAACTCCGGTCCTAGGAGTCAAATAGACCTGCCATCTGATCCTGGCTTGCTAGTTATAACCTTAAGTAAGTTCCTTAATCTCTATGCTTCTGTTTCCAGAAGATGGGGTGGTTAAGGTGTTGTATCTGCAGAGCAGTGAGATAGGATAAGTTCAAGCAACTGGACTTCCAGGCAGTTTTCATTTTGCTACCATTGTGCTGGGCCCTTAGGGTGGTAGAGAAGGGTGGGAGGTGAGGAAGTGGAGCAGCCTTTGATTACTCTTTCTGTCTGACTCCTCACCCCTGCACTGACGCCTGTTTTCAGATGCTGCCACCCCAACGTCTTACCTCTGCTGGGCTTCTGCTCTGGAAAACAGTTCTACAGCTTGATTCATCCCTTCATGGCAAATGGTTCTTTACAAGACAGACTCTGGGATCAGGTAAGGGGCTGGGTCATGGTCAGAGAACATGACCAGGCAGTACCCAATTAGAGAATCAAGGGTTAGGGACTTATATTAGTCCAGAGGGGAGAGGGGCTATCCAGAGAGGCCCTTCCAGAAGAGAGGTTGGGACAATGGCAAAGTAGGCAAATGCTGTGCTTGCCTCTTATGACCACATTAAAATTTCAACTAAATTATAAAACAATCAGCCTGGGGAACCGTGTGAAGACTAGATGAACAGAAGGCTTACGTTCCCTACAACAGTAGCAGGCACCTGGGGTGAGGTGGGTGACGGCTCAAAAAGAAAAAGAGAAGTTAGGCAGATAGATAAGATCTGGCTAAACATCTTCAGGAATAAACCTACAAAAATTTTATTTGACAAGAGGCATTTCATTTAAGTCAAGAGCAAGCCAAAGGTATTCCAGAGCACTAATTTACTGAACATTGTTCTAGAGGTGCTAGCCAATGCAATAGGACAAGAAAAAGAACTAAGAGATACCAAGTATGAAAAAGTAGAGGCACAATTTTATTTAAAAATGCTATTCTTAAATATACCTATTTGTTTGGGTATTTATGGAATATATATTATGGAAAGAAACAAGAAACTGCTGCCTTGGGTACCTCTGGGGAGGAAAACTAGATAGCTGTGGCATAGGATGGGAGGGAAACTGACTACATGTCCTTTTGTACCTTTTATATATTATACCGTGTGAGTACAACATTAAAATTATAATTTTTATAATAAACCTTCTTCCCATAAAATCCTCAGAGGGAAAAGTTATTCCACCACAATTATTGCTTCCTTTGGCAGGGATTAGCCAAAGCAGTTATTCGTTTAGCTTTGCTGAGGTCTCACTGTGTGCAAGACGCTATGATAAGGGCTTTACACATGTCTCCTCCACAACCCAAGAGGTTTTCTCTATTTTCCAAAAGAAGAGTCTCTGGCACAGAGAGGCAAAGTGACTTGCCCTGAGGAACACACCAGACAAGTAGTTTTAACTGGGTTAATGTGGCTCTAGATTCCAGAGTTTTTGAGAAGAAATCTATTAGCAGGGTCAATTTTTAGAGGATGTGAGACCTAAGACATGACTTTAAAAATAAATGGTGATTTAGCCTGGCGAGTCAGTCCTAGAACAACAGTAGCAGGCACCTGGGGTGAGGTGGGTGACTAGCCTGCCCCACAATCCCCATCAGCCCTTGTGAAGTCTCCCCAAGTGTGTAAGGCCCACATGCCTGCTGTGCCCATACACGCTCCCTAGCTCCTCTCCCAACCAGCCCCTCCTAGAGAAAAATTCTAGAGCCGCTGCTG